GCGTCCGGAGGCTGTGCTCCACAACGGGAGAGGCCACAACAGTGAGAGGCCCAAAAAAAAAAAAAAAAAAAAAAAAAAAAAAAGAGAGAGATAATGAAAAAGAATTACATAAAACCCAAGGGCTTAAGTCTCCAGACTGAAAGGAATGACCAAGTACCAGCATGATGAATGAAAAAAAGAATCATGTGGTGAAATTGTTACAAAAGCAACAATAAATAAATAATCCAAAAAGCTTATAGAAAAAAAAAAAGCACCAAGAATCAGAACTATATGAATGCTAGTAGAAGACAGTACTACCTTTAAATTCTGAGAAACTAATTTTTCAATGCAGAATTTTATACCCAGCCAAATTGGTAGGATGGTACAATAGATATTTTCATACATGCAAGGACTCAGAGAGCTCACCTCACCAATACTGGTTCTCAAGTAGTTAACTGAGAATGCGCTACACTAGAACAAGGGAGTAAACTGAGAAAAAAAGAGTTCTGGGATCCAGTGGATAAACAGTGGAGTCTTTCTAAGAAAGCATTGAAGGAAAGTTCTATGATGACCCCTCTGCAGCAGGCATGGGGAAAAATAGTTTTGCTTGAAAGAAGAAAGAGAGAGAACGTCAATTTGAGGATTCTCCATGAAAAAGAACTCAAGAGATGCCTAAATAATGGAGAGTTTGCAGGGGGAGGGGGACCAGCAACATGAGGCTACACTAGAGCAAACAGTTCAAGGAAAAAAGAAGAGATTTCAGAAACAACAAGAAAAACTAAGTTATACAACAAAGGTAATATGAACAACAACATTTACATAATTAGTAAGAACAACATTTACATCACGGTACTTATAAACACTTTATTTTAAACTGCAACTTTAGAATTAACCTAGACAAAGCTTTAGAAAAGTCAAGCATGGTTGTAGCACAATACCAGATCTTCCTCGATTTATGATGGGGTTACATCTTGATAAATCCATTGTTAAGTTGAAAATATTTAAATTTGAAAATCTGTTTAATACACCCAACCTACTGAACATCACAGCTTAGCCCAGCCTACCTTAAACATACTCAGAACGCTTATATTAGCCTACAGCTGGGCAAAATCATCTAACACAAAGCCTATTTTATGATAAAGTGTTGAATATCTCATGTAATTTATTGAATACTATACTGAAAGTGAAAACCAGAATGGTTGTGTGGGGACAGAATGGTTTTAAGTGTATTGGTTGTTTACCCTCGTGATGGCGTGGCTGCTGGGAGCTGTGGCTACTGCCACTGCCCAGCATCATGAGAGAGTGCCATGACATATATCACTATCCCAGGAAAAGATCAATATTAAAAATTCAAAGTATGGTTTCTACTGAATGTGTATAGCTTTCACACCATCGTAAAGTCGGAAAATTGTAAGTTTAACCAGTGTAAGTTGAGGACCATCTGTATATATGTTATCAATGTGGGCAATATAAGTGAAAAAGTCCAGATAGGAAAAGCAGAGGTAAGGAGTAGTAATTGGGAAGGAGAGATGAAGGATGCTAAGATCATCATTTTATAAAGCATGAAATAAGAGATGATATCTCTATCAGTGTTCTACAGTGTTTCCTGAGCTTATTCCCATGCTTCTAGAAGTTCTCTACAATAATTTTCACATTTTGTATCTTTTTTTTTTTTTTTTTGTGGTACGCGGGCCTCTCACTGCTGTGGCCTCTCCCGTTGCGGGGCACAGGCTCCAGACGCGCAGGCCCAGCGGCCATGGCTCACGGGCCCAGCCGCTCCGCGGCATGTGGGATCTTCCCGGACCGGGGCACGAACCCGTGTCCCCTGCATCGGCAGGCGGACTCTCAACCACTGCGCCACCAGGGAAGCCCCAACATTTTGTATCTTTTGTTTTAATATGAATAATAAAATACAGAAGCATATTCTGAAAAAAAAAAGAGATGATGTCTCTAATTGATAGAATAAGAACTAAAACTCTTAATATTATACGCACAACTCATCCAGTAACTTTAAACAGTGACATAAAAATACTGGTACCATAATGGCAAAGTAAAGGGTGGTATAAGGTAAATAAATCTTCATCTGTTAACAGTGATAAAGCAACAGCTCATGGAAAATACAAAATGGAAAAAATAACTATTAGAAGAAACAGTTCAAATATTTAGAAATTGAATCTGCACGGTTTGGATTTCTAATGATATATATATATATATATATATATATATATATATAAAACTTGGATAACAATTTAACCATTTTTTAAAAAAGAATTTCTACACTCTCCCTTTAGTCATCAGACTTGCCTGATTTCTCTTATTCTCCAGCAGTGAAGTCTCATAGAGTTGAGCATTATGAAGAACAATTCCACAAAATGCCAAGTAAGCAGCAAAGTCCTAGAAAACAGGCAAGACAACAGCCAAATAAGAACCGTCAATAACCTGTCTTGTTATATTGCTTGAAACACAAACAACATTCAAAAATATTTACAGTTCAAATAAATATTTGGAAGCGAAAACAGCGTAGATGTTTATTCTGCATAAAATTAGGAACTGATGCAAAGCAACTGTTAGCTAAATGGTACAACCAGTAGATGACAACTGTTAACACAGTCTCCTAAAGTCATACAGTAGTTGGAAATTAGCAAAGAGAAAGAGAGGAGACACAGATCTCTTTACACCATGTGAAACTGAAATTCACTCTATGCAAAATTTGGTGTAGTCTCTAAATGATATTAAGACTTGGGTTTAAGCTAAGACCATAAAAATAGCCTGTAACTTATTACTGGGGCAAACTGAAAGCTCACAATCTTGTTAGGAGAATATTGGCAATAATATTGCCAATATTAGCCCCATACTAAATTGCAAATTTAGTATCAGTTTAAATATATCATTTTAAAGATGATATATCACCCTCATTATACTACACGAAGGTGATGTGCTCACAATTACACTAATTATTGATGAAAGGAAATCCTTACATGGCATACTTTATTCACAATCATGAATTTATTTCGCCAAGAGATGATACAGCCTAAGAATGCAAATCTTTCAAGAGGGGTTTACATTAATGGACTATAAACAAATAGTGGAATAAATAGCAAATCTAGAACCATGTTCCCCGCCAAATATCCTCAGGTGTCATTAATGGAATAGGAGACTAGATGTCTATTACACTAATTTAAAAAGGTACTTGCTATGTTCTGAAGCAATTAAGACACAGGGACCAACACTAGTGCCAACACAGCCTACAACATGAGACAAAAATAACTCTGTCTTGTTGGAATGTCTTCCAAAAGCTCCTACTAATTTTCAGGGGAGCGAAAGAAATAGCAATGGGCTTGATATACATGGGCTTGATATACATGGAGTGGGCTCCATGATATACATATAATTGCATATTCAAGGAGAGAAATAACAAGACCTACTGACAGAATGAAGTTATAAACAGGTTTAAGGGCTTCTGTCCTTAAAAGGAAAGCATGTCGATGTGGTGTGAGGAATGTATTCCTTCAGAGTTGGACGAGAAGGGTAATAAAATAATGCTGACTGCACTCTTTCTGAAGCTAAATTCACATCATTTAGCCTGAATTCACACCTTGGCACCCCACCGTCTGCGTGCAAAGCTTATAAAACATTCTGCATTTGCTTCACCAGGAGGCAATTCTAATTTTAAGCTGACCTGGAGCACTGAACTTGGAGCAGTGCTTTAGGGATTTTAAGTAAGGTTGAATTTCTTTATAGCAGTGCTGAAAGGTAAATGAGAGAGTTAGAACACTGTATCACCCTCCTGATGGCCGCAACATGCACACAGCCCCGGGGGAGGCCTGGTGGCATGGTGAGGAGGCAGTGGGGACGGGGTTCTGTTGACTGAAGACCACAACTACTCCACAACTCAGGTCAGCACTGATTTAGCCAGAGGCAAGAGACACTTTTGAACATTTCGGATCATTTTAAACCATAATGTTTTTGTGATCAACAATTTCAGCAATCACTAATTCCAGAGGTCTATACAACTCTAAAGAGAAAGCATCTTCCTAAATTGAGATCATACCAGACCCAAGTTTTGGTACCTTTTCATCTTTTTCAGTGAATGTCCCACCATTTCCTGATTTCTTGTTGATGGCCTGGGCTACACCAACAACCTGGTATAAGAAGAGAACACTGGTAATTTCGTTGACTGAAATTATTGGTATAAATTCACCAAAGCGTGTTTACAGAATAATTTCTACATGTGCTTTAAAATAACGATAAGCTACAAAATCAAAACAAACCCCACAGCATCTGAACTAGTCCTGTATCATTTTGTACATTCTTTTTTTCCTAATAAGAGTTCAAATGTTTCTAACTTCTTGGGTCCCAAACTATATTTGATTCTGGGATTTCATGCTGCCCTGTGAAAGAAATTATTGGCAATCACTTTTTATGTGAATATTTTTCATGGCTTTTGAATAAAAAATAAACATTAAATTTATATCACATTTCAAATAGAATATATGATTAAATGAACATTTTATATCGGTTTTAAATATAATATTTCAAATGGGCTAAATGATCTTTTACTAAAAATGAAATAGGACCAATGGCCAGTCACAGAATTTAAAATGCAGGAGGACCAATTAGGGTAAAAATTCTTAATGTAGGGTTGTTGTCCAACTTCTTTTGAAATTTCTGAACTTGAAAATTATCTTACCTTCAATAGACTTACTTTGGTGGAAAGAAGTTTTATTGAAAAACAGACTGAGTCTTATTTCAAATCAGAAGGTGTTTGAAAGATAAACTACATCTTAAGAAGACTGAGCTAAACTCTGGGAATATGTCTTAAGTTACCACAACACACTTAGCAAGACTTTTAAGAACCTTCTCATCTTCCTACTTAAAAGTATATTTTACTTACCCGTTTAGTTCCAACTTGAAGTTTGTGTTATTACTTTATTAGTCTTTTAAAGACCTTCAACTTACTTTTTTTTTTTTTTTTTTTTTTTGCGGTACGCGGGCCTCTCACTCTTGTGGCCTCTCCCGTTGCAGAGCACAGGCTCCGGACGCGCAAGCTCAGCGGCCATGGCTCACAGGTCCAGCCGCTCCGCGGCATGTGGGATCTTCCCACACCGGGGCACGAACCCGTGTCCCCTGCATCGGCAGACGGACTCTCAACCACTGCGCCACCAGGGAAGCCCTGTTCAACTTACTTTTGCTTCCTCTTTACTACTTATAAATTCTACTTGTTTCCTCCTTCTACAATATAATATCAGTGTAAAAAGCTATTATCCTCTAAATGGTTATACTTTAGAAATATAAAGTCCTGAGTTTTATGTGGATGGTCGATCCTTTTTTCTCAGCTCACTCTAGCCCGTTAGCTTTAAGAAATGGATATAAAAAATGCCCTTCCAAGATAGCAGAGCAAGGACAGAGAAATACATTCTTGTCTGACGTAGTTTTCTGTTCTCAACACGTTTCCTCCCCACCCTACGACTGAGTAAAGAGATGTTGATTTTAAAAAGCAGAATCATCCAATTATCCTGTACCTATTTTACACTCTTTAGCTCTTGGCTAACAGATTTCTCGATGATGCTCCAATCTCAATGACAAAATGCCTACAAAAGCTTTTGTCTAAGGTCAAAACGTCTGGACTGCAGCCAGGCACATTCACTTGAATATAACTGATGGGAGCCTCTTGAGGGTCACTGGGGTCTAATACATAGTGCTACCAGTATAACTTGGTGATTTCATTTTAAGCATTCGTTCATTTACTCAACAAATATTGTGGTGACCACCGTGCACCAAAGAGTGATAAAAACTGGGAGCAAGGCTACCCGGAAGGAGCTCAAGAATCAAGAATGGGTGATACATAAACATATATTTACAGCACACGTATGATCACTTTGATGATACAGGCACCCACAGATTGTTAAGAGCACAGAAGGGAGACCAAATATGCATAAAAGAGAAGGTTTCTCAGAAATGATGACATTTGAGTTTTTATTTGTCTTTAATAAATGGTTTGATAAAAGAAAGAGTTAAATTTTTAAATCTTCATTTTAAGGAAGAAGAGATTAAAACAGATAAAGAGACTGTTATGCAAACCTTCTCAGATAATTATACAGTATTAAAAGAAGCGTGTATTGATGTGCTGTTTATACCTGGAGCCGTGTGAGTCAATGTACTACAAGCAAGACGATTTTCAACCAATACAACACTGTTCACGTAGTTCAATAACTTCTCCATTTCGAGAATTTCTATTTGATTCTTTTCTCAAACCCGCCTCTTCCTCCTCCTCCCCCTCTTCCTCTTTCTTTTTTTCCTTTAAATACTAGTGCCAGCTGTCCTTCATCTCTTAGAACATACTGAGTTTTGAGTGTAAGTTCACCCATAGCAGGGACTGTTTTCCATGGGAGCCCCATGTCCCCTGAGTCATGAAGTGTCAGGCATAGCGACTTGCTGCTTGTCTGGCACTGCACTGGTGGCATGAACTTGAACTCCATACCCTGTGGGGCACAAGCCCTGCTCTCATGGCTCACCAGTGTCTCTTCTTTGTCTCGCAGCTGCAGGCAGAGGCAAGCTTTCCTCGTTGCTGAAAAGTTTTCCAGGCCTGGTTCCACGGATGGAAACTTCACAGACCTAGGCCTCCCCTGGGAGTTTAGTTTCCCCTCCCTGCCCTCACCCGTGCCTGTGGAGGGGACGCATCACCCCTGCCTGCAGATGTTACCCGCAGGCATTCACCCTACCATCCTGTATCTCACATCTCCGAAGCCCATCTGGACTTTGGTGATTCACCCTGCTTACCTTGGGTTCCCCTCTTTGTTTCTGATACCTGGGGATTTCCCTTTCTTGAGCTCATCTGTAATTTTTAAAATCACTTTTGGTGAAATTTTATTCTCTACTTGTTTGCAGAATGGGGAGGTGGGTGGTGTTCTGCACCTGTTCAGTCTGGCAAACTGATCAGAAGTCTTATTCACAGGCTTTAAACCCTACTTTGTACCCCCTGAACACCAGCTCTTTACTATATTTAATTTTGTCCCCCTAACATTAGAGCAAGATATTAATCATTAGGCAACTTCATGGAATGAAGACTTCCAGTGAAGAATTTTTCATCCTTTTCGGTGACCAATTATTTCTCTCACTAGTAATTTTATAGATTTAGATATTAGAGGTTAATTTGTTTAAGGGATGATTATTTAAATATAATTAATTTTTTTTAAAAAAACAGGCAAGTTCTGGGCTTCCCTGGTGGCACAGTGGTTGGGAGTCCACCTGCCGATGCAGGGGATGCGGGTTCGTGCCCCGGTCTGGGAGGATCCCGCGTGCTGTGGAGCGGCTGGGCCCGTGAGCCATGGCCGTTGGGCCTGCTCGTCCGGAGCCTGTGCTCCACGATGGGAGAGGCCGCAGCGGTGAGAGGCCCACAT